TGGAATCTCAATTACTGTGTCTTAGAAATGGAAATCCTATTATTTATCCAACATGACAGCAGCACTCATGCCTGGAATCTCTACAAATTCTACATAATAGAAGGAAGAAGGAAGAAAAGGGGGGGGGGGAAAGAAGAAGAAGAAAAAACCGAAAAAAGCCTTTTTTAAAAAAAAAAAAAAAGCACCAAATGCTTTTAAGAGTATTCCATGTGCAAAACTCATTAAGTCAAAGTATACTGACAGATTCACAGACTTTCCGAGCTGAAAGACACCTTAGAGATCATGTAATCCAAGTTAGCATTTTTATGGATGAGGCCACAAGAGTGCAGAGAGGTTAAGAAACTTGGCCAAGATCACAAAAGGGAGCCCATCACAGGATTGTTGCCCCAGTGGGCTTTGCTGCTGCATCTACTGGCCACACTCAGCACTGACTTAAGGCGAACACTGCCATAGATGAGAACTAAACGCTGCATTTAAACCTGCAGCACTGCATTCAGGATCTCTAATTTTACTATAAACATCTCAACATCATTCTGAATAATCTCTCACAAAGGAAAGAAAAATTTAGGTATACATGTTATATACTTCAATCAAGTCCATCATAAAGATGTTATTTGGGTCTATTGATATTCACTACAATTCCATGATGATGATTTATATTTTACAGATGAAGACAGCAAGGCACAGAGATGATAAATGTCTTACTTGTGGTGACAGAACTAATAACTTGTGGAGTCAAGACCCAAACACTGGTAATCCAGCACCAGAGACTGTATTTTTTACCACTGTACTACACTGTCTCTTAATCACCTTTTTTGTTTGTTTCCAAATAACAGGGCTAATAAAACATTGTAATAATAGTGAAAACATTCTTAAATATGCTGCCATTTAAATCTAGACCTAATAATTGTCATAAGTCTCTGAATAATTTTAAAGTATACATATTTATAGATTTATCAGACTGTATACCCATGTTAACTTTATGATGATCTGCAAAGCAAACTAGGTAAGTCACATTTACGTAAAATAAACAGTTTTCCCCATGATACAGTTTGGCTGTGTCCCCACCCAAATCTCATCTTGAATTGTAGTTCCCATAATCCTAGTGGCATGGGAGGGACCAAGTGGAGATAACTGAATAACGGGCGCAGCTTCCGCCTTGCTACTGTTCTCATGATAGTGAGTGAGTTCTCATGAAATCTGATGGTTTTCTAAGGGGCTTTCCCTTTTGTTCAGCACTCACTTATCTTCCTGCCATCATGTGAAGAAGGATGTGTTTGCTTCTCTTTCCACCATGATTGTAAGTTTCCTAAGGCCTCCCCAGCCATGCTGAACTGAGAGTCAATTAAACCTCTTTCCTTTATAAATTACCCCACAATTTCTAAATAATAAAGAAGGCTGCTTTTAAAAACTATTTAACTTTGCTCAAGGAATTGTTAGTAGGTGGAAGCTTATGAAATCAGATCCATTCAAAAATGAATACATCATGAACTATGCAATGCCAGTAAAATATGTTGGTCACATCAGTGTTTTTACATAAATGACTCTCCAAACATCTAAGCAATAGCTGCTGGTCTTAAAGGACAAGTGGGACAGGTGAGCCACATAAGAACTTCTCTGCTTCTTCCCAGCTGTTATGGCATTTATCCTCTCTTCGACCTCAGGATATCAGATCAGAGGTTCAAGTAGATAGGGCATTAAAGGGAGTACTTTACAACCAACTTATAGTAATTAATAATTATCAAACAACAAGGGCTATTTTTCTTGGATAGTGTTAAGTAATGGGGAACAATGGGTGGAATCCGAGCAGAGGAATGGCATGACAGTACTGGAGATGAGGTGCAGCAAGACTAAAAGTCAGGACATCCTGTTGAAGAACAATGTGGGCTTCAAGGCCTTAACTCTGATGGTGGTGGGACTGGGAAAGAGAGATCCCGAGTAGTCAGAAATGAGAAAAGCTCATGACTACCTGGATACAGGAGTAGAAAAGAGGGCAATTTAAAAATTCAAGGTTTCCTTCCATATAATCCTTCCATCTGTTACTCCCACTCTCAACATCAATTTTAAGAATACCTTTTTCAAGTGTCCACCTCATATGCTACCTCCATCTGAACTGCTTCAAAATATTAAAAGAAATTATGCTTATTGCTTGAGTTACATGGCTGTTGACATGCTGCCCAGATGAACAAAAATATTTTATTTGGCTCACTTTACCATGAAATAGAATGATGTTTCAAAAACATTCCCTTTAAATTATCCTAGTGTTACAAAGACAAAAAAAAGAAAAGTCACTTCAGTTTTAACATATGAACAATATTAAAATGACATATGAAGAATATTAAAATACATGTGTAACAGTCACCATTTGGAAATGATAGCAAATGAAGGGGTGTATGATGAACAATTCAAAAACATCAAGCTTTAACTAAGAAAAAAAAAACAAAATAATATCAGTGTTCTCTTATTTCACTGTAATCAGAATTATCTTATTCTTTACCATACTTCTCTAAAAGAAATAAATAGTACCACATAGCAGTTAGGGGCATAATAAATAGACACTTTCAATTACTCTGGAGAAATGACTTAAATAGGGATTTTTTTAAGAGGCATTATTTGGCAAAAGTCTTAACTGCAGTGATTTTTACTGGAAAGACTTCATGGGCTCCCCACAGCTTAGGTGAGAGAATTTGATCCCAAACCCCAAGCCAAAATTCTTATAAATCGACACTCACCAAATAAGATCACTCAGCTCCTGCTAAGCCATAACTTGTTTAAGGTTGAATATAACAAACATCTCATCTCACATACATAGGCTCTGTTACTAAGAAATTTGTAACAAGAAGTAAAATTGGAGGAGGGATGACCACAGGTTTCTAGGGTTTCCAAAGCATGTCATTTGTAAATTGTTTCTCATAAAAGCCATCTTGAAATTAATACGGTAGCCCACACTATTCCTTTCATGAGAAAGACCATGAAGCAGGCAGTCGACGCCTACCACCACTCCGAGAATATTAATGCTTACAAACAAGGTAGCAATTGTCATGTGACTTTGTGCTTCTACTCATACTTGTCCTGATATCTGCAATGTTCTCTTGTTTGTTCTCTCTTGACCCTTGAAAATCAGTTCAGTTTCTGCCTTCTCCTTGAACCTATCCCTAATACGGCAATTTGTTATCAGTACTGGAATTAATCTCCCGGAAGCTTACTTTTTTGTCCCTTTACCTTCTTTTGTCCCCTCCCTTCTCCTACTTCTTCACCTTAATGCCTCCTAGGAAGACATCTGTCTGCCTAACATCCAAGCCCTTTTACAATTAGGATTCCAGTCTTTGTTTAGGAGACTTCCTAGCACTGTACATTGTCATGGGAAACAGTGTCTCCCAGGAAGGAAGCCAAAGGAGTAATATCTTTATTACCCTGTTCAGGACAGACAGAGGCAACATATGGGCAAAGTCCAGGTCAATCTGAGGCTCTCTGAGAGTCTTTTCAAATACTGAACAAGTGATATCATGCTTAATACTTGGAGCACAGCATGGAGGCATGAGGACTACAAGATGTTCACTGTAGTTGCCCTGTTGTGTGCCTGCGGCTCCTGTCTATTTTCCAAGTCTGAACCTCCAGCTTTCCATGGATTCACTGACCTGCATTATTCTGATTAATTCTCATTTTGCTTTTGTGAGTCAGCTTCTGTGATTTAATGCTCAGATCCCTGACTGATACTTTCCCCAATGTCAACTGTACCCAAATTCTTCCTTCCAATTTATTGCTTATCCAGCCGCACAGGAACCTTAGAAAACACAAAATTCTAATTCACAGAACTGCTTCAGTGACCAAAGGGCTGAATCTGGTGTGGACTGAGTTCCACTGCTGACTCTTACCTATACTCAGATCCTGGCTTTAATGAGGGTCTAATCTGATCCTCCAATCATGATGTGCTGTTATTCAGAATGACAATCACAGATTGACAGGAGAGGTAAAGAACTATCCTGCCCCTCTCTCCAAGCCAGTGAAGTGCCCTAATAGACTTTTCCCTGCCCTACCCAAAGCAACAGACTTTTAAAATCTCTCTGCCAGATTTGCGTCTTCAATGAACTTATTCTAGGCTGATTTTCACAGACTTTCAATCTCTTTTAGTTTCCCTTTGACTTTTGGTTGCCTTCTTTCCAGATTCTCCCTCTTTTCATTGATAATTCTATTGTACATTCTACATGACTTTGATGTGAGTTTTTCTTAAAGATATCATTGAAGTCTGTTCTGAGTCCAGTGTTCTAAACCATCCGGCAACCAGCGAGGTCCAGCAGGATCAGTTTGCCTTATCTAGGGGAGAGGGGACATCATATCTGCAGCTAAAGAGAGTGCCTGTGTTGGGATTAGTGGAACTGCTGTCCTCTTTAGCACGATCACAGCTACTGAGTGCTGTTACTGAGTGGCAGGTCCTAACCTAAGCCCTTTGGGTACATAGTCTTATTTGTTCCTCAGAAAGTCTCTATTAAATTAGCATTATTGCTTATCATTTATTGATGAAAAACCTGAAGGTCAGAGTCATTACATATTCACACAAGTTGGTATCACTAGGGGGAGGCAGAGTCATGATGGAAATCTATTACTTTGATCCCAAAGTCTGTGCTTTTACCCACTATAATTTTACCCCCTTCCCTGACACACACGCCCATGAAAAAGTCACCAACTTTTATGCTAGTAAGTAAGCCCTGCATGATTTCCCTCTATCTGCCTTTCTGAGTCATCTCTCCCTGTGTCCCCACTCACTTCAGTCACATAGAATCTGCACTCCAGGCATATTAAATTGTATGTATCTGCAAAGAAGCAATACACTTACATGGCCATCCTTTCTTTAAATGTAGTTTCCTCTAAGTAAAATATTCTCACTGTTATAAACTCCATTTCCAGTCCTATTCATTCCATGTGACCCAGATTAAATATTACCTTTTCCATGAAGCCTGCCCCATTTCCCCATTTGGAAATAACTGACCCCTTTACTTTAATTCTCATATCACTTTATTTACTCTCTACATAGCCAAATCCCCCCTCATCTCCAGCTAAATGTTAGTTCCTTGGAGGTTCCCACTGTGATCTTCTCTTCTCCACATGCCCTCTGTGTACCACACCCTTCCATGGTAGGTTTAACTGTTGGATTCACTTAAGTGAACTTCTGCCTGGTCATATTTCCAGCACATCTTGTGGGAAGAGAATGTGGCTGCCAGATACTGGCAATCAGAGGCCACCAAATCTGCACTTGCTCCTCATCTTTCACAGTCGCAGTCTCCGTGTACTCCATCTGGGAGGCTCCCTGCTGGATCTGGGAAGGTCATATGCTTACATTTTACAAATACAAAGGAGAGTACTCACAGTTCTAATAAGCAAAACATCAAACAGCAAACTGGAATCTATAGCCAGTACTGGTGTTAATCAGCACCTTTTAAATGGCATTCTTAATACTACAAATTGTAAAAAGAAAAAGCAATAATATATAGAGTTGATGGTACAAATGAATTTTAAAAATATGTTTCAAGATGCTTGTGATGAGATGCCAAACAACGTAATGAGAAAAACAATTGCTAAGGAACTGTTTCTTCCCATGCTCCCTCCCAACTTCAACTCACACCCCTGAGAGCCTGTAAACACAGCCTGCGACATTGCATCAGCATATGTTCAATTTTCACACTAAGAGGAAGGGAAAGATAACTTTGCAAAGGAAAAGAGAAAAAAAAATAAAGTATTCTTTCAAATGTGAAAATCCCAAATAAGTAGTAAATATTCTAGTATAATAGCAACATGTTTCCCCCGCCCCCCACCACCACCATCCATTGCATATGGATACTACTTCAAGCTCACTAGGATTTTCTTAGACTTTCCCATTAAAAGTGAGATGATCCCTTTGGAAAAGATATAGCTATGAAAGACTCAGGGTATGCAGAGGATAAAAACTGTGTAAAAAGATTTGAACTGTTGCCTATGTGCCTCTGTGCAAAGTAAACTACCAGCTTACAGGCTGTTTGCTCAAACAGGGAATCCAAGTTCTTCCTAGGACAAGTCACATCATGACCATAACTGGTCAAATTCATGAAATTAAGCATTAATTCATGAAGCAAGTTTTTAATTTTAAATTTTTATTTGAATCATAAGCTTTCCTAGCTAATGTGATCATGATTATTATGTGGTCTAATCCATTTTCAATTTTTTAAAAGAAATGGGAGACCTACATCAAAAGAAAAAAAGGAAGGAAGAAATAGAGGGAGGGAGGGAAGAAGAAAAGAAGGAAGGGAAGGGAAAGGAAGGGAAGGGGAGGGGAGGAGCGGGGAGAGGAGGTGAGGGAGGGGTGAGGGGAGGAGAGGGAAGGAATTTCATGAGGAATCTCAATGTGCTGCTTTGGTTGAAGTTAAGATAGGGACCCAGAGCTCTGTAACACGAGAATGCCTACCTCTATCAACAAACTGCTCCAGACGTGACTCTTGTCAGGAGACTCTTAGGAATCTAAGAAAACTATTACTAATAATATTGCTTTAGTTTGGCAAATGAAGAATGTGGCACATATATCTTTAGAGTGGCTTCAAGTGATCTTCTCCTCCTGCTATTTATATCCTCATGTAAATGCTCCCCATTCAGTAAGAATGGGACATGGGACTTGTTTCTAATCAATAGACTATAGCAAAAGTGATGCAGTGTCACTCCCATGATTATTTTATATTCCAGAAAACTTGTTCTTGCTAGCCAAACACTTGCCCTAGTCACTGTCTCTTCTCTTTCTCTCTTTGAAGAAGCAGATGCCATGAATTCACTAAATATTGCCAAGAACCATGCTTGTGGACACAAAGTTGCTTCCCTAATTGCACTTCCAGATTATAAACCAGAAGTGTGTGGGACAGGCCTCAATCAATTTAAGATGTGTATTTTGCTAAGGTTAAGGACATGCCCATGACACAGCCTCAGGAGGTCCTGATGACATGTGCCCGAGGTGGTCGGGCACATCTTGGTTTTATACATTTTAGGGAGACATAAGACATTTGTCAATACATGTAAGTGTATATTGGTTCTGTCTGGAAAGGCAGGACAATCAAAGCACGGGGTGGGGAGGTTCCAGGTCATAGGTAGATTTAAAGACTTTCTGCTTGGCAATTGGTTGAAAGAGTTATTGTCCATAGAAAGGAATGTCTGGGTTCTGATAAAGGGTTGTAGATACCAAGACTTAACCAAGCAGATGATGCATCCAGGTAGCAGGCTTCAGGGAGAATAGATTGTAAATGTTTCTTGTCAGACTTAAAGAGCGTTTTATCCAGAATTCCAAAAGGGAGGAGGGTATAAAGAGGCATGTTCTATCCCCTATTCTCATCACAGCCTGAATTACTTTTTTCAGGCTAACTTCGGAATGCCCTTGGCTGAGAAAAGAGGTCCATTCAGACGGTTGGGAGGCCTCAAAATCTTATTTTTTGGGTTTACAAGGTGCAAACTTGGTCCTGGTCAACACCTTAATTGCAGCCTTGTGAGATCCTTAGCAGACTTCTAACCCACAGAAACCATGAAACAAATAAACCTGTGTTGTTTTAAGCCAATAAATGTGTGGTCATTGTTATGCCGCACAGACAACGAATAACAGGCAACCAACACCTAGGAAGTATACTTCAGCCAGAGCCAAGGATGCAACCGCTCCTCATGGATACAATTCTCAATTTCCATGCTGCCTCCCAGGAAAAGAATTGTAACCAAAACAGCCTTAAACCTTCCCTCGGCTTGGCTAAATTTTAGTCAAGTTTCTTCCCCTATAAGCCTCTGACCTCCCTTTTCTTAGAGAATTTACTTAAGAAAACTTCCTTTGCAGTGTAAAGCTTTTCCTGATCACGTGCCAGTTTTACAAGCCAGGAACCTTTGTGAAGCGCCTGGGAACCATCCCTTTGTAAGGCAATCATCAGGAAAGATAAGGCCCCTATCACAGTCCCTGTGGGGGGTTGGGGACCCAGGAGCCTAACTTCAATAACTTGCCTCGTAGCAAATACACTGACAAACCTTCTCACCAACTTGCTTCAGGACTTTTCCACTAGCTCGCCTGAGCTTAAAACCTCTCCTGCCTTTTGTTTCAGTGGGGTTGAAACAATCTATTCTGTATAAACTTGACCTTTATTGCAATAAGTCTTGACCCTTATTGCAATCATTTTGAATAAAATCTATCTTGCTTGTTGAGTATTTTGACATTTGAAATAATCAAAATAATGAGAAGTTGATTTATAAGAAGATTTTAACATATTGAGGTTCTTAAAAAGAGGGTTCAATAGGGGGAAATAAAATGGCTCTTGCCTAACATGTGAGGGCTCTGGATAAAGGGGTACAAAAATGCTCCACTTGTCCTCGGGATTACTGGCTTTAAGACCAGGGAGAGTGCCACAGAAAATCTCAATGACTAGGTATTGTCTACTGCACAAACATACTCTGCTCACTTGTGTGCCTTGCTCCACTTCCTCTGCAACTTTGTCTGACAAACCCCACATGGCTGAAATCTAGAAATTCAGTAAGTAGAACCTGAAATAAGATAGAAACAATAAAAGGAAAAAAAAACTACACAAAATACAAAATCAAAACACTGCATTCCAAAGAAACTATCAAACAGGAGAAGCAAGCGGGCATGTCATAATGAGACATGTACCAATAATATGCACTGTGCCTTCCACAGGCATTGCTTCTTGTAGCTATTCAACCTTTTAAGATGCAAAGAGGCTGGAACAAGTTTAAACGAACACGCTGCCCCTTTCATATCAAATAATTGAAAACCACTGACAACGCAGGCCTCCCCTGCTTCTCCTATCTGCTTATTTGGCTGACAGAGAAAGAAAAGAACTTGCTTGTTGATGAAGGAAGAAGCTGGGTGGGATGACAGTAAAATCTAGAATTATAACCAAGCTGGCCCAAGGTGTCCTGAAGGATATAAATATACAGTTTAATCAGAGTGCCATTTGTTTTAGTGTTTAAATTATTTCAATTATTGGAATGTATAATTTTTAAATTATAGAAATAAGTTTTAAAACCTGAAAAAAAGAAAAAGGAAAACGATGATGCATTACCACATGTGTTTGCTCAGTTCCATGAGGGAACCATTCATACTTCATTCACATTGAACTTCATGTAGTTGTACAACATGGTGGCCTACCTGTTAGTTCTTACTAACAGTTTAAAGAAGTTGCAATTTCTCTTCTTCAGCAGTCCTAGATGACCTGAATATATATAAGCTATATAGAATTCAGTTTTGGAATATGTCCATTTTACTGGGATGGTTGGTTTTATACCATTTGAGATGTTATTTTAGTGTTAGCTTCACCCAACTGATGTGCAGAAGCCAAAAATTTAATTTATACCCTTTGGGTGAGATTTTTCAGTGTTGTGACAAAATTTCAAACCCAAACCACAAATCTCAGTGGTTTCATAATATCTATCCCAAACCAATATTTGTAGCGGAAACAAGAAATATGACAGATTGCCACAAAAGTGTCATTACAAAACAAAATTTAAGTATGGATGCCAATAATTTATTTTCACATTTACAGAGTGGCACAAGGCTTGCAAGTAAGACTTTTTTTTAATTTATATTTTCAAATTCCATTAATGTGTTTTCCTTAATAACTTGAGAAAATTACAAATTCCAACACACACATTACATACCACAACTTGGTCATTTGAGACATTCAATCTCAAAAATCACTAAACGAACGGATTCAGTTTCTTTTTGTCCCAAAGACAATACTTATCCTCTGATTTTTCAAATTGCATAAATATTCTGCCTTTTACCAAAGAGAATACTTGATGTTTTACAATTAAGTGAACATTTATTAGTGACATTTATTAGTGAG